AAAAAAAAAAAAAAAAAAAAAGAAATTAAATTAAAAAATTAATAATTTCTTCCATTTTTTTTTCTCTTCTTTTTCCACGGTACGTCGTCGTATACTCTTAACAAATTTCATGGGATTTTCTCCATTAATCATGTTCACTAATCACACAATCCCATCACTGTATAATATTTCTATAATTAATTAGTTTTTTTTTTCTTTTTCCCTCCGTGTCGATGGAGGTGACCAGATTTATGTAGCTGGTTCGGGTTTTGGTTTCGGTTCAAAGAATTCAGTTCCTTAAAACGGTTCGATTTATATATATATTGCCTTTTTAATTAATTTTATTAAATATTTTGTGTATTATCTACCGAATTAGATGGATCATGTTATTGATTATTAGTATTACGTAGCTCTCGAGAGGGGCGGGTTTTAGGGTTTAGGGTTTTAAAAGCCATTAGGGAAGGCCAATGCAAGTAGTGTAGAGTTATAGTTTTACTTTTTGATTTGTTGTCTATCTCAAAAAAAGTAGGGTTATAGGGTTTTGATTAATAGAGAATATGAGTGTCGGGGAGGAAACCTAGAATTCGGGGTCGGGGTCGGGGTCGGGGTCGAGGTAGAGTATAGAGTTGTTTTGGGTATATTGTTTAATTGGGTCATTGTTACGTAACTGTCTCGTAATAACCTTTAGATATGATTTTTTAAAGTATGTATGCACGTGATTATTACTGGAATGTAAGTCGAAATATTGGGTGTCGTTTCTCGATTGTGCCTGTGCTTAGTTTCTTCCCGAGTTCAACATGCTCTCGTGTATTTTATCTAATGTTTGACGTTGACACGAGATGCCCTCCATCTATTTCTCTTTGCAAAAATGCCCCTCTCTTTGGAATTCTAATAGAATAGGTGTAATTAATATCTCTTCCATTCAAAACTTTTCTACTGGAGTTGTTGAATTTCTAATAATTATTTTTGTACTTTATTTTATAATTTCAGTCAGTAAATTAATTTATTTTTTATGTATTAAAAGAATTAAATGTACCTTAAAAAATACATTATTATTATTATTATTATTATTTTCAATTAATTCATTTAAAAAATTGTTAAAAAACACATTTTAATTTTCGGAGAATCTATTCCGCTCAAAGATGGTCTATATCAATAAATTGGATTAGGATAAAGAACATGATAGAGTCGAGCTTACACTCGAGAGCTCAGAAATGGATAAATAACCGAATAATATTATCGAAATGAACGTATAATTTTTTTAATCTAACGGTTATTAGAGAGCATATAAATTTTGGAATCTGTATAGCTAAGTTATTAAAAATCGAGCACATTGTGACGGACTCATCTATATATATATAAAAATAATTATTCATTCATGAAAGGCTAATATATAGAACGATCCAGTTTTTTATTTATTATTTTTTAAATTTGTTGAAATGGTGAATATTCTATTTATCTTTATTAATTATCTTATTGATAAATATGGGAAATTAAAATAATAATAAATAATAATAAAAAGAGAAATTTTATTGCGTTATTTGATGAAAAATAATGCATGCAGATTGGTGATAATAATGTGAGTGTGCTTTGTGTGATTAAAAATTAAAAAAAAAATTATAACTTTAAAATATTATATTTTAAATATGAAATAAATTCATGAATGAAAATTTGAAATTATTTAAAATTATTTTTTATGTTCAAATTATCACTCCAAAACATACTTTTAATAATTTAAAATTAAATTTGATTATAAAAATTGGGTTTAAAAAATTTAAATATGACATTTAATTAATTTAAATATGATAAAAATCAAAATCACACTGGAACATGTTCTTAACCAATTTTTCAAAGAAGAGATACCGTTGGAATAATGTCAAAAGAGATATTTGTTGTCATTGCATGTGATATTAGAATCATTGTAAACCCTAAATTTAGCTCGTGTGTTAAAAAAAATAAAGCTCTTATGTCAATCGAGATACTCTATTCATCACTTATATACTCATGATCTTTCTTTTCGTAGCCAATGTGAAGCTTTGATCGCACTTTCAACCCACCGTCTCGTTTTCTCTCCAATTCAACGCTTTTAAAGAGTATGTTGTCGGCGTCTACCCAAAGAGTTCAATGACCGTCTTTTTTGTGACTCACCATATTTGCTCGGTTCTTGATAATTGAACGTGAATATAGTAGATCGGGGCATATCTCAGACACCAACGCAACTAAACCACTTCATTTCTTCATGATCTTATGATATTATCCATTCAAAATCTACGTTTTCATGGATTTTGTTTTATTTTCACCCAAAAGATCGATACATCAGGTACGAAGCTACCTCTAACCTATTAAATTCGTAATCTTCCCCGTATTTTATAATTTATAATGTTAGTGGGAGGGGAATCTAGTGTTATTGGTGTCTAAAATAGGGATGACAAGAATCAAAGAGGAGATAGAAAGGAAGGTAGGGGAAGAAAGCATTGGCAAGAAAAAGATAGAACATTGATAAAATGATATCAATATGGTATGAAAAATGATAGCTAATCACACAAATTCATAGATTTGGACATCCACTTCCATCCCATCAATACCCATCAATACACATCAATACCAACAATCAATCAAATAAGATTATTGAACATCAAGAACGTTTGGATGAAATAACAAAACCATCATCTTTTCTTCATCAAATCCACTTGGAACGATAAAAGCTCTCGACCAATATTTTGGGCGCAAACCCACTTTTTATTATCACCACTCAACTAATTTTGAGGCTAAATTAGTATAAAGAATTACCATCTTGTTCGTTCTTCTTTACGAATTAAAATATAAACACTGTTACGTTGTTCCAAGTAATTGTCACATTTGTTCTAGGTTTCAATCTTCATCCAACATTCTAACAAATTTTTATTTCAGTAATAGTTTTTGAATGTTTTTGAAGAATTGAAAATAATATTTGCATCGACATGACCCCTGTTTGCCTAGAGGTAGAAACAATCATCTCCTCGTGGGTCAAACCATCGTTGCTGAGAACCACCGAATGGCAGCATCTCTACTTCGACTCCACTTCCACCAACTACGTTGTCAATGAAAATCGATGTTTTTCCCAGCTTTCACGATGCATCGATAGCTTCGTATGAATATGAATCAATTTCTTGTTTTCAGTGCATATGTTCTGTTTTGCTCTGTTAGGGGATTAGAAGTGAATGATGCCATGAAATCTGTGATCCAAGCTGTTTGCCCGAAGACATTCTAGCAATTGCTGCCAGAGACTGTGCTGTGCTGTGCTGCAAGATGATGTCAAAGCAGTTACAAACAATGTTATTCTGACAATTAAGTTACTTTTTCTCTCTCTTTTTCCTAACAATTTTCAGTCAGGAAGACGCTTTTGGAAAGTGCAATTCAGAAGAGATAGCCTAAGTGCTAGCAGAAACAACATTCCCTGGCCCAAACTCCACTGTGGCTATCCTCTACAACCTGGTTTCTCTCTCAGAGATATTGTTGCTGTAAAAGATTTTGGCTTTTTCATTAATCTTTTACTTGTCCTGATAGTTTCACAATTTCTGAAGGGCGCACACACCTGGACAGCCAGATGTATTTCATTCCGTTCTAGATGGCATAGCTCGACGTCGCAAGGCCAGTGACATATTATGAGATCCTACTTTGGTTGAAGAGGAGAACGAAATATTCCTTATAAGGGTGTGAAAATATCTTCCTAGCATACGCGTTTCAAAACCATGAGGCTTACGACGATACGTAACTAACAAAAACAAACAATATCTACTAATAGTGGGCTTGGGCTGTTACAAATGATATTAGACACCAAGCGATGTGCTGATCCCCGAGTGGATTGTAAGATCTCACATTGGTTGGAGAGGAGAACGAAACATTCTTTATAAAGGTGTGGAAACCTCTCCCTAGAAAACATGTTTTGAAATCATGAGGCTAATGACAATACGTAACGAGCCAAATATTTGACAACCATTATAACATGAGTCCTCTCTTTGAAGTGGTTGCTCTAGTCTGATCAAATTCATGCAACGGGGAACGAGAAATAGTCAGAACCTACACAGTCGACCCAATGGTGAAAATGGGAAGCCTCAAACTACCCACCGGAACACATATCCTAATCCAAACTACCTACCGAACTTTAGCTAGATTATGTTCGAATTCAATATAAACCGACCCGGAAAAAACGAACACTTGGAGATAACTTGCTATATTGGAGAAGGTACTATTCTCAACTAGTATAATTGAATCACAGCTACAAAAGAAAGTCTACATATTCTCTTCAACTCCAATTTCTAAGATGTAATGAAACAAAAGAGCCGCCCGTATCTGCTGAGAAACTAAGATGTAATATATAAGGACATACAAGTTTATGAGCAATACATAGATTTTTAGCAATATGATACATTCATAACATTATGTTGTAACTAAGCCGATGCATTTAAATGTTCTCTACAGTGCCACGCTATTAACTGCAACAGAATATCATCCTATATGTGGTTTTTGTACCTTACAAAGCTGTTCTCTGCCTTAGAACTTCAAGGCAGCAGCAGCAGCCTAATATCTTCATCTCACAACTTCAATGGCAGATGCACCAGCTGACCTGTAGATCTCATTGATCCATTTCGAGCTCCTGAAGACCAAATAGTTCTACCATGGTTAACGTAGACCCAGTTAACGTTTCGCAAGTAAGGCTAAGTTGTCCCATTATAAAGAACGTGTAATGAAACATCTCGAACGTTAATCTGACAATGTGACAGTGCACGTGACGCTTTGTTAATTCATGTCTTGTCAGTTTATATAATTAAGCAGAAGAAACATCTTGAAACGACCTCTTTTTTGTGTCTTTTGCATCTTATTTATAATATCATGCTGTTCATCCTAATCCCAATCCCAATGGACTCGACTCTTACAAGCCAACATACACGACATATGGAATTAGAAAACCAACCTGTTGATTATTTATTCTTCCATGCCCATTCATGACTTGCTTGAAGTCCCTGAGGTAAGTAGTCATTTACGTGATGTTGACTCGGGGAAAGTAAGGTGGTTGCGTTAAAATATAAGTACAATGTACCTGGTGGAAGCGAGTAGGATCATTTACCGAGCTATTAGCTGTCTGCAATTTTGTATAAGTGCCTTCCTGCATAACGAAAGAATAAAATCATGTTCAAAATGCATTAACTGAAGAAGATCGAAGTGGTAGGACTGCAAAAGCCGTTGTACCCCAAGAAAAATCAAAGGAAAGTGAGTGATGAATAAAGTCGTAAAAGAATCGGTAACAATTCAAGTCCATTGCTAGCAGATATTGTCCTCTTTAAACTTTCCCTTTCACGCTTCCCCTCAAGATTTTTAAAACATGTCTGCTAGGGAGAGGTTTCCATACCCATATAAAGAATGTTTCGTTCTCCTCTACAATAGATGTGGGATCTCATGGAATCCAACAAAGATATTGTACTATCTAAAAAGTCTACCGTCTACGATAAAGTGGACCAATCAAAATAAAGATATAATTGCCAAAACTCTCAAATGCAATAATGAAAACTGGAATTGCTAATAGAATAGACAGACCTGTGAATGAAATGAAGGTTGCTGTACCAGCTGAGGGTGGGGCGTCGGTGTCTGGAACCGAGTTTGAAGCTGGGCTTGGGGAGTTTGAGAGAGTTGCTGGGTAGGTAGTAGTTGAGGACGTGACTGGTTAAGAGGCTGCATTACTGGTGGCTTTTGTTGTTGCTCGATCGCCGAAAGCTCTTGAGGTCTCTCCCACTGCAGGTTTACACATGAGAACACTAACCACACAAATAACAGCAAAAGCTTCAAAGAAACTCTCACCTTACTCTCACCAGTAACACTATTATAATAGTATTTATAACCATCAGGAGAAGTGTGCTCTGTCCAATTGCTGGTATTTATAGCTACAGGAGGAACTGTAGATTTATGTGTATCTGATGTTGCAGAAGTGGCACTGGTAGCTGTGTGTGGCACAACCCCTGTCCAGTGAGACTGCACGTGCATTTAAAACGACAGACAATATTTGTCTTAACCTTAAATTGGGATCAAAATGTCCTATATACCTCAACGAATCCAAACATGTTCTACTAGTATAGAGATAACTCGTTACCTGCTGATTAATAGTCCGGGAACTCGGCTGCAACGTTGAGCTTTGATTCGATGGTTGTATCGACTGCAACTGCTGCTGTAGCTGAGAGAATGCCTGCTGGGAAGACTGAAAACTAGCATGGAGAGTTTGTTTTTGTTGTGACAACATGTGTGCTAACTGAGAAGGTGAATTCTGCCGTGGCTGAATCGGTGTAGGACGTTGCTGTTGATTAGGGGCAGCTGATGAGGCACCCGGCTGGACCATAGCCTGAGATACCGGAAACTGTGCACCAATGCTAGGTAACTCTTGGGAAGGTGCGGGCAGACTGAATGGCAGTTGACCAGAAGAGTTGAAAATTTGTGGTTGATTATGCTGTTGTGCTAATGCTGCAGTTGAATGTGGCTGAGAATAGGAAGGACCATGAGGGTGCAATTGACTTGAAGGTGGCAACTGTGTTGTTGACTGAACGGCCTTTAGCACGGGCGACGCTTGGAGGCCAAGTGATGGATGCTGGCTGGCAGACTGATAAAGATTCTAACAAATTCAGATAACATTGGAGATTTTTGGGAATTCCTAGGATATAATCTAGCAGGTAGAGTAAAAAAAAAAAATCATAAATCGACATCTATTTACCTGTTGAGAAGCAGAGGATGCTGGAGAGGCTAACCCAGGATTGGAACCTCTAAACCCACTACCAGGACCACCCTAAAAATTATGCAAGCACATTAGTTATGCAGCGTACAACTAAGTGTGTGAAAACTACGGGTGTGGAAACCTCTCCCTAGCAGACGCGTTTTAAAAATCTTGAGGGGAAGCCCGAAAGGAAAAGCCCAAAGAAGACAATATCTGCTAGCGGTGGTTTTAGGCCATTACAATATCAACAGTATTAATGGGGACTTTAAGCAATTTTTGTTGCTTGCTTCAAATTTAACTTGCCAGGTTTCTTATTTCAAATTTAATAACTTGCCAGGTTTCTTATCTAGAAAAAAAAAATGGAAATATCCAATACGAAGATTATACAGAAAAGGTTCCATAAAATCCTTGCGTCGATGCCTTTTGATTTATAAGTAGGTCCCCACATCTAACGTCGAGATAAAATGCATGTTAACTATCATAGGTCAACCACTAATCCACAGAGGAAGTTAAAATTGTGAGGCTGTTAGGTTGAGTTTTTCATGGCTACGTATTAAAATATTAATATCCTACGAGTTCCCGATTACAAATATGGTTTAGTTAAAAGGAAGTAAATGGACCAAAATGCCACTTTTGCTATACATAAACCTACACAATTCAAAACACGAACAGCACTTGAAATTACATGTCAAAAGGTAATAATAACTTACCAAGTTCAAAGGCAGTCCCATTTCACTGGACCTAGGAGGCAACTGACCCCCAAAGGGAAAAGCACCAGCATCAACAGGTGGCCTGAAACCTCGTACATCAATTGGAACTCGATCACCCATAAATTCACCAAAATTAGGCATTGGTCTGCTAAAAGCACAAAACAATCAACAGCATGATCAGAAAATGCTTGGTACTTCGCCAAATTTTTGGCTCTAACTGGAGCTCCATTTCAAAACCATTTTGCAACTATGATCATTGCAGGTTGTTTTTATTCGTTGGGGATTTCCACTTTTTGGTACTTCTCATTTGATCAATGAAAAATTGTATTCAGTTTTCTATTTATTCACACACACTTAAAGACAATGGCCACTGAAAGGTATCTCCCACAATGAATTTTACCTCGGACCTGGTGCTTGAAAGCGAGAACCAAAACCCGGACCTCCAAATGCAGGAGTGCCCCTGAAAAAGCAAGATCCTTAAGTTATAAGGTTCTTAGTAATAATATATATATATATATATATATATATATATATATAGGTTAAGGGTGGACCAAATTTCAGAATAAGACATTAAATACTACCCACCAAAGCCATGTTCAAATAAAGGTTTAAGAAAATGCTAGATAAGAAAGGCCTTCAAAGGATCTAATTTCAATTTCAAAATTTGATCATAAAGGCCACATCATATCAAACCTTGAATCTCCAGATCTAGGCTTCTTTGGGTCAGCAAAGCGAACGCTTAATGGTTGATCACAACCCTAATTGTAGTAGTCAAGGAAATTCATTAAGTAATAGGTTCGGTGATAAATACTGCATAACAAAAAGATATTATAAACTCAAGAATAGACTTACTCCCATTGTAAACCTTCCATTAAGTGCATTTATAGCCGCCAGTGCCATATCCTTTTGTGAATACTTCACAAATCCACACCCTTCAAAATAACGCGACTCGTAAAGATACGGAAAACCAGAATAATGGAAGAGAGAATAATAATGACGGTGATGATAAGTTTGAATCTAATAGTCGCACGGCCTAGCATAATCTTCTTTCTCTTAGTATTTCACAGAAAAAAAACAAGTAATCAAATCCTAGAATTCCATATTGATAAATGCTGAATGAAATTCGAGTATCATCCATTCGTTTAAACCATTCAGCATCTACGACTCCATTCCATATCAAATAATCAAATCCCCTAGCCAACAAAGCCTCAAAATCTAAATCATTTACCATACAACATGCATTCTCCATATTGAACAAGAACAGGGATAAAAAACGTTTATTAACAAGATCAAATAGATTTGAAAAGCATACCACGACTCTGTTTCATTTCATCCCGCATGAGGTAAACATCGTCAACTACTCCATATGGAGAAAAGATCTGAGAACAAAAATATTGATTAATTTCTTGAACTATTGGAAGTAACCCATATGATCTTACTCCATGCAAAAGCACTAAGAAGAAAAGGCATACACGTCTCCACAGCCAAAATACGAAAGGACAATATACGTAAGCTCAAAACTAAGAAGAAAATGAGTTTCTAAAAGCTCAACAGAACCCAAAGTTCATAATTTATTTGATGGCAGAAAAAAGAGAAAGGAAAAGAAGTAGAAATGGATAACATTGAGATGAAAAGGGTTTAACGACACGGTTATAGCATACTTCCTTGACTTCTTTTTCTGTGGCTTGTTTATTTAATGAACCAACAAACAATTTGTACTCAACTGCACCTGCAGAAAATAAGTAAAGAAAAGAATCAATAAAATGATAGAAAATGAAATTGTTTTAGCAGACAGGTCGATTCACCATTCTACTGACTTGGAACGCTGACATTTCTGAAGTATTAATGCTTACAACACATTATACTTCAATAACGCTCAGTCCAGATTGAAATTCATATCTTACTCCGACTTTCTATTTGTCGTTTCAAAAATGAATTTTTCCGACGTAACAACCAAAGGTTCAAAAATAAACGAAGTAATAGTACTGCCTCAGAAATTTAATCCTCACACACAAAAAGAAAAAGATGACGATGATGGATGAAGGTTCATAAATAAGACAAAAGCCAGATCCATGAGTCAATTACCGAGACGCTCCTGCTCTCCATCAGCATATCGAACTTGAATTGGGCCTGCTCCCTGTAAACATGTTTAAGATACATAGTAGCATTGCGCACAAGATATATATAGATAACATTTGGGGGAGGAAACTCACCCCAGGAAGGGTATGTTGATTGTGCAAGTTCCTAATTGCTCTATCAGCTTCTTCTGGGGTTGTATATTTTACAAAACAACATCCTGCATAAGTAAAGGATGTTCTGATTTGACTACATTGGATCATAACTTTGTATTAATGGTGTTACATTTATTCCTAACCATAACCACGAGCAAATGAAGAGGCTAAAATACAGCGCACGTAAAATTAATGCTACATCCACATGTATCAGTTCATTCCAATCAACAGAAAGGCCAACTTTACAGTTACCATTACAAAAAATACGTCAACGACCAAATCAGGAAAATCTAGTAGAAAGGGATACAAACACACACAGAGATGAAAAGGGAAAGTTTTACATATAGATGTTGGTTACAACCTGCCATCTACAAGCACACAGGAAGATATAGGTAAAGAACACCCAAGAATCCCTCAACATTCATAAGGATTTAAAGGCGGTTTCCTACTAAAGACGCCACAAAATGCATCCAGAGAATAGGACACAACTTCAATTCCATTCATTAAGTACAAACAGGACCAACAGTAGAGATAAACTATAGCATTTTTCAGCATGAGGTCGTGGCCATAGTACACATTCCATTATCTATAGGAGATTAACCACCTTAAGTGAAACAGAGAAACTATAGAACGGGAAGAATTCAAATGTTGGAATAGCCAGCTATCAAGAATTTCTCAACGCCAAACATTTGGAATAATCTAGTAAAATCACTAGCGTGCACATTATGACTGCCTAAATGATCTTTGTATCGCAATCGTTGCCTTCAGCACCACCACCACAACCAACATTGGTACAAATGATTATGATGGTACAAAGAATCCAAAAGCTTGCTATTAGGAGGTCATCGATAATTTTTTTACATTTCTACGTCATATATATCAGTCTTACATTAGCTAGAAATGCCTCACTTTAAACAAACTTGAAAAAACTATCATATCCCAGCACTAAAATATCATTTAATAGGCTAAGCTAGTAATAACGAGGTCAAACAACCTACCGTCCTACAAACTCGTGAAAATATTAATCACAATCACTCCCTCTATCAAATAACACATTCACTCGGTTAATAAATCCACAACTTGCGGTAATTGAATCACAAAATGTACATTGATCATCAGCTACACGCAGCCACGAAATATGTTAAGTAAAGCCATCAGAAACTATAAACTCCACAACCGCATTATTCTGCCTTATCAAAACCCTTAAATAACAATATTGCAAAAGGTTTAATAATGAAATTACACACTGTCTTCTCCTATCCAACTAAAGCGGAAAACTTGAATAAGAAGACACAATATCATGCAAAATAGAGTAAACTTCAAAATGTGTAAATTCAGGGGATTAAACAAGTATCCATCAAACAAAAGTACAGAAATTTATACTCGGCATAGAACTCTCAACACTAAAAATGCCACTCAGCACGCCAATGCAATAAAAATGAACCAATCTGAGTAGATGGAAGGACATATCCCTCAGAAACTCAGCATAGTTGCATTGACAGCTGCATCATTTTGCTCAAATCAATTCTGCAGTGAGGCTTTACCAAGTATCCTCCTTCCGTAGCCCCATGAAAAAAGTTTTTGTATCTCCCAAGGTCTAGGTCTTTGTATATTATTATTTTTTACGTTTTATAAAATTACTGGTTTCCGGAAAGAAAGATACACAAGATAGTGTTGATAATAACAAAACCATTTATATGGACCAAAAAAATGCATGATCATACACCACAACCAACAAAGACACAGGATCTCCTTCTGCAAGAAGAAGAAACAGTCAAGACTTCAAACAACAGGCAATAAACATCAGTGCTGAACGCTAGAACGAACTCATTTTGAAAACAGGGCAAACCAGATAAAACTAATCAAGAACAAAAATCTCCTAAAAAATATAACACAGCAATCCATACACAAGCAACAGTGACAAGTTTGAAGCAGAGCTACTTGTTCTGTTTACACGCTACTAAGCACAAGTACAAAAGGGTATTGTGAAATATCACAAGAGAAATGTGGGGTAAGAGAGGATGAGTTTCACGTGGTCAATAAGGCTGAGTTTCATGTTGCAGCAGAACTCCCAAAGAGTCTGACTTGAGACAGAATAAGACGTTACAAAATCACGTCTATTATCAAACATGATGGGTCTTCTTCCATTTGCTTGGATAAAAATGAAGATATCATCAACAAGGAAACAAAACAATCCATGTGCCTCATACTACAATAGACTAAACCAACTCAGAGAAACATACAAGCAACCTGAAAATCCTGAGACTCATCCATTCATTCAATGGATAACATAAAAAGTGAGCTATCAGTTACCAACTATCCAACAAACACATACACCTCACAAAATCCTTTGCAAGCCACTAGGAGATGAAACTCCGTACCCATCACCATTTTATATTCCACATCAATAACAATTCAAAGTTTGAAACCATTTAAACGAATCACATTCACCACAATTTGAAAAAACACACACATTCAAATCTTCCAAACTTGCAATATATATTAACATAAAATTTTTATAAAAAAAACCAGTATTTTCTAATTCTGTACATTTGTCTTACTATAAATCCTAAAATAAAAAACCTAAACTGCTGGCAGCAGACACTCCCATTACAAAAAAAAAGGGGGTTATATCCTCATTGCCGCAGCACCAGCCACTATCACAAGGCCAGAAGGCACGGTCTTTTGTTCTCCACTGCCATACAAAACTTCATATTATAGCAGGTTTACATGCCTTGTCCTCTTCTTGTTTGAAAAAAGTTAGGATCGCAACGAAAACCAACAAGCACCAAACTTGTTGCAAAAACAAACTGAAACGAGCTCACGGTTTCTTCGAGCCTCTCAAAACCTGAAATGACATGTGTATGAACCAAAAGTGATTCATACAAAATAGAAGTTATGCTTACCTTGTTGCTGGCCTGTTCTCTTATCCTTTATCAAAGCTACTTCAATCACATTTCCATGTTCTTCAAACAATGGGCGAATCTGGTATCAAACAAGCATAGTTTTATTTAAGAAACCTATTTACATGAAAAAAAATCAAAATAAAACCAAATGAAAGTCACTCGTAAGCACATACCCTACCACTAACTGAGCCCAAAAAAAAATTATAAAGGCTCCAGGAGTAAGTGTTCATAAACAAAGAAGGATGACAACAACAATACTTGGTCACATGAACCCAAAACGTAGCATTGAAAATGAACTAAACATTTCTTTTTCCAAGATCCCTCAGTCCTAATCCTTTTATTTCTCTCAAACCATATGTCCTCAAAAGGGTAGAACAAAACCTAGCTTGCCAAGAAAGACATTTGTCCTACTTGTTCTCACCACCTCTAAACAAGAGATCCAATAGGAATCTCATACAACAATAATGACTGAAAGCCTACAACTTTTAAAGCCTCCCAACCCACCAAGCGCTCCCTTCAATAATGCATGTCAAATAATGCGAAAACATTTCATCTCTAGAAGAAATGCCACACCTAGACCTTCTCATATCAATAGAAGAATGCAAGACATGTCTGACAGCAATGTGTAAATACAGTGTACAAAAGTGGGGAAATGAATTCATGGCTTTTCAACAATTTAATGAAAACTTAAGACTTACATCTTCTTCTGTAACTGTCCTTGGAACGGATCCAACAAACAGCTTGGCAAAACTGCTTCTGTCCGAATGATCTGAAGATGGAAGATGTTGATATTAGCAAGCTGCATGATTAGTGAAGATGCTGTGTGAAATATATGAGACCTCCACTAAAAATATCTCCTATATTGATCACCCTGAAAGTTGAAATGAATTAACCTCTTAATGAGAGTTTTTGTTTCTTGATAGCTAACGGTTAGAAGGGAACTTCCTTTTTCTTTTTCCCCCTTCAATTGGGAGCTAATTATGATAAAGGTAATCAATAGAACTTCACATTGACAATAAATCGATTTTCAAGAACATAATTCAGACATTGGATGAAGTTTTAACCATATCTCAAACATCCCAGAAAGGTTAGAGAAAGTGAGGGAAAAAATCCACTCTTTAGAACTGGTATGATACAGGAGATATGCAATCTAACTCCGAGGTTCTTAGCATACATCATGAGCACCATCTTCCAAATAATGCGTTCTTTGACCTTTATAACATAAATTCTATGTGATTCGTGTACAGATTTGATAGAACTAAACTAACCAAGGGATATAGAAGCAACAAAGCGAAAACCAGCATGAAAGTAACTGAAAAAAGATCGCCTGGTGTTCTTATCAACAAAAGAATAGAAACTGCAACTAAATTAATCCACAAAATCTAACCTGGAGAACTTCCACGGCCGGCGAAAGGATAGCCCCGTTTCTGTCCTGCAACAGGAAGCGGCTGGAAACTGGACCCAAAACCACCGCCAGTACCAGGAATTGGACGGAACCCCCCGCCAGTTCCCATTGGGCGAAAATTAGCAGCACCGGGAGTAGAGAAGCGCGGCGGGCTGTCGAAAGGCCGACGGTTACCTCCGGCAACGCCGCCACGGAAGTTATTGGGGCTCCAGCGACTGTCTTGATGGTTCATCGGGGAGTCCGAGAAGCGAGAAGGAGCTGCAGAGTGACGGTACGGGTGGGAATCTTGGTCGGAACCATAGCGGTCTTCTCTATGCCTATCCAGCTTTGCGGAACTGAGAAATCGAAGCCCAAATTTGTGCAGTCCTCTTCAGGAAAGCGAATCAGTGAAGTGAAGCGAAATTCCAGAATCTTAGAACTCGCGAAGACAAGACGGAGTCAGACTCGGGAGGAAGAAGAGGAATCCCGCGCTGTCGCGGAAGAACTGAAGAAGGAAAGTACAAATAATTGTAATAAATAAAATAATAAACAATATATATATATATATATACACTTTATATGGGCCCGACAGAACTGTGGGCCGGAAGGTAAGTGGGCCCGTTAAACCCAATCGGCTTTATTTTGAGCCCATCAAGGATAAGATTTATAATTAAAATGGCTAAATTACAAAAATAATAATAATAATAATAAATAAATAAATAAATAAACCTCCGGGTAAAATATATCTATTTTTTATTATAAATTATGATATTATATTTAAATTTTCATTGTAGAAATCGAGAATTTAAATTTGAGAATAATAAGACTATTCTAATTATGATCAGAAATCCAAATATAACATATTAGTCTGAATCATTATTATACTCTTTCCAGGTCACGGCTTACGGTTTGGAACATCTGTAAAAGGTCGAGGATAATGTTGTAATTTTTAAAATAGCCGTAGCGTTTTTATTTTTCATTCTCTTCTCGATTTTCTTTCTTGTTCCACCCATTTATTGGGTGTTGCTTGTTACTGGTTCATGCTCGACTTGTAATCAAGGGAGCAATCCCTTCGTTCACATCAAGGACGTCTTCGTAATTTTACTGCTAATACATTAACATTGATATCTTAAATTAAAAAATATATATATATATATTTTTACCGCTAATACATTTAAATATACGGATGAGTTGATAAATAGTTTCCATCAAATTTTTAATTTTTTTTTTATACAATTTAGGGTTATTAATTTAATTTTAAAGGAGGAGAAATTTATTTTTTTAATTTTATTTTTTTAAAATTGAATATTATTATTTTTTATTATTATTAATTTAGATTAAAAAGCTTTAATTCTTTGAAAATTATGGTTTACTAAAACTCCTCTGCATGAAACGTAGGAAGTAAAGGGACCGAGGTTGACTGGACTGTTGATGTGGCATCCTCGGTGCCGCCGGCCATGGCCGTGCTAAATTATCGCCGCCGAGTAACTCCGGCAGCGTCTCCAAAAGTCGAAACCGAATTCATCTCAAATTCACTGCGGTTTTCCGAAACCAAATCCATCTCAAATGCAAACTAGAAGTATTCTGTAATGGAGATCTTCGGCGTTGGTAGCGTTTTCTCTTGAATCGGTTTTACTCTGAAACTTCAACGTTAGAACTTTTTAATTTTTGGTTATGGTTCCATTAATTGTTTAGCGCTTTCTTCTTTCTTGCATTGATTGTTCTTCTTTCTCTGCTGCATATATATACTTCCAATGGAACACTTCTCTTCACTCATCCTCTTCTTTTTTCTTGTTTTCAATCCATTTCACTTGGATTGTTCTTGCGAGCGCCAAAACGCCGGTAATGCTTCTAGTTATCTTGTAAGCATTCCTTCTGATCGACTTCTTCCATTCCGGATTTTGTCGGTAACTTGTAGCAATGGCTTTACTAGGCCCTGTGACTCACGCTCAGGTTTGTATTCTAATCACTTCTCAACTATTTCAATTCGTTCGATTATTTTAGTCCTGTGATTCGAAAGAAGTTCACTTCTATTGTGGATTTTCCTATAATTTCGCTCGCCAGCTCCACCATCAGTTCGTTGTTGCTTTATTCAATGGAAACTAGACTAATGTTATTATGGATTTATACTGGTTCTTTCACTTGATTGATACAGGTTTCGTTTCTTATCGGATTTTTAACCATTGTCGTTGCGTGGATTTATTCGGAGTACTTAGCATTTAAAAAGAAGTCAATCGCTTCCAAAGTGTAAGTTGATTGATCCTTTTAACCATAAATTTTTGCTGTCTTCTCTCTTTTTTCAAGACATGTTCATATTTATGTATTAATCATGATATGAACACACACATATACTAACAACATTACCAAGACAAGGAATACAGTGAAGAGGAATTAAGAGGAGCCCTGAAATTAGTTTTATCAGGAAGGGTCAATAGAATCTGCACGAAAGCTTTTTGACTTAGTACATATCTATCCTTTCCTACAGTTCCACATTTGCCTCTACATCTATAATTTCTTGCCAGCAACAATCTTGCAAATCATTTTACAAGCTACATTATTTTTGCTAAGAACAACTGCTTAATTATTTTTTTCCTTTTTGAACTCTCCCGGATTCTTGTTTCTTGAAACTTTGCATCGATCACTGAGAAGATCTGTTTCTTGTTGAAAAAGTAAACCAGCTTAATCAGTAAAAAGAACAATAATGGTGAATAGAATTGATAGAATATAGTTTGTTAGAAAGTGACAGTATCTGTTGCTTTTAGTCATATATGTGTGCTATAGATGTGAGGATATTTTGGTAGAAAATTATTCATTTTGTAGCATGTTGTTCCATACTGAAACTGGATTCTTTTTTAGAAGGCAAAGTAATGTTGCGTTTGCTGAGGTAGAAAGTGATGCTGGAAAGGAAGATGATAAAGCTGTTTTATTAGAAGGGGGGGCTATCAAGTCTATTTCTTCTGGAGCTCGAATTCCACCTACCTTCTCTACTGTTATCAGGTTCACAAAAGGAAGCGTTAGTTCCTTCCAATGGCAGCTGCTGATTCTTTAGGTTTACTTATGTTTGTTTGCTTGTGTTTGGTTTGCCTGCTAGGTTCATTACGCTGGAAGAGTCATTCTTGATAGAAAATCGAATGTTACTCCGAGCAGCGTACGTAAACCCCTGCATAGAATTTAAGCTAAATATTTATGTGACATCTCTTGAATGTTGAGTTTTATCTCTTTTTAGTTAATATGTTTCTCTCTTTTTTCACTTACAGATCTGAACTTGGTCTTCTTTTAGCATACTTCTATATCTGTGACCGTACTGATACATTTGGATCGGCAACAAAGGTGTCTTGATTTCCGGAGCTCTTTTCTTCCAATTTCTTTTAGTAATCTTTCTAATACATTGTTCATTAGAAAACCATTTAGATATGTTCTTATTGCATTGTACTTCTTCAACATCAATTGTATTTTTATATTAAAAAAAAGTTCAAATTTTTCTTTCTTTTTTTTACTTTTAAGATTGAAAATTGTAATTTTTGTGAACTCCATTTTGTTGATTTACACCAGTTCTCCCCGATCTAATATCTCTCTTGTTTAATTTTTGCAGAGTTACAATCGAGATCTTTTCGCCTTCCTCTTGATCCTTCTTATCTTAGTTGCAGCAATTACTTCGTTCAAGATACATCTCGATAAATCACCATTTTCAGTGAAACCTATACTCTTCTTGAATAGGCATCAAACTGAGGAGTGGAAAGGATGGATGCAGGTCAGTCACTCACACACATAATTATTAGTGTTCATTTTATTTCTCTGAATGAAAGTGCAGTTTCTTACCATATATATATATATAGAAGCATGATTCCTAATTGCGTTTTCCTTGATTTCATCTCAAATCTTGCAAGTCATAATGGGAAATTGCTTATAAAGTTACCCGAGCTAACTTCATAAGCTTCTTTTGTTTTTCTATAGGTGATTTTTTTGATGTACCATTACTTTGCTGCAAGAGAAATTTACAATGTGGGTCGCGTATGTGTTGCTTCATATGTGTGGATGACTGGATTCGGGAATTTTTCATATTACTATGCTCGTAAAGACTTTAGCCTTCCTAGATTTGCTCAGGCATGCTCACCTATTGATCCTTCAATTTCTTGCTCGTAAGAAAGAAAAGTTATTTGTGATCAAAACTATTATTTAGTGACTTTTTACATTTTCTTCTGATCAGATGATGTGGCGGCTTAATTTCTTGGTGTTTATGTGCTGCATTGTCCTTGACAACAGTTACATGCTATACTATATCTGCCCCTTGCACACTTTTTTCTCTCTCGTGGTATATGGTATTGTTGGTGTTATGCACAAATACAATGAGATTAGAGCCGTCATTGTCGTGAAATTTTTCGTTTGCTTCTTGGTCGTTATCATAGTGTGGGAAATACCTGGAGTGTTTGAAGTTCTTTGGGAACCATTTACCTTCATTCTAGGTAGCTCTTGATGTATTTAACTTTTCAAGGATAAACGATTTTCTCCAACCAACCTAACATTTCAAATTATTATTGCAGGATATAAAGATCCAAATCGACTGAAAGAACAGTTGCCTCCTATGTATGAGTGGCACTTCCGCACAGGACTTGATCGCTATATTTGGATATTAGGCATGGTGTATGCTTACTATTATCCAACTGTAAGTTTAAACATGCTCGACTTGTACTATCATCACATTTTTTCTACCTGAAATTTTTTAGTTTGTCTCATCCAATCATAAGGCGTCCTTGATGTTGAGGATTGTTGGGAGAGAGTCCCACGTTGGCTAATTTAGGGAATGATCATGAGTTTATAAGTAAAGAATACATCTCCATTTGTACGAGACCTTTTGGAAAAACCCAAAGCAAAGTCATGAGAGCTTATGCTCAAAGTGGACAATATCATACCATTGTGGAGAGTCGTTATTCCCAACACTTGATTGATCCCATCCAAATAAGGGTATCATTATTGCATTTCCCCTTTTAGAAATTCTTAATAATGGAATGATTTTGACAGATTGAGAAATGGATTGAAAAGCTAGACGAAGCAAAACTGAAGCGCAGGATACTGATCAAAACGACAATTGTTGTGACATCCGCAACGGTAGAATGTTTTTTAATGTGTACCATAGTCATTTCTTGGTTTTTTTCCCTCTAATTCAAGCCGTTTTGTGACTTTTCAGGCCGCATATCTATGGTTTGAGTACATCTTCAAATTGGACAGTCTTACTTACAACCAATACCATCCTTACACTTCTTGGATTCCCATCACGTATGTGAACCTTTTCTTATATGGAGCTTGAAATAGAAAAGCTATATATGTTAGTTAAGCATTGTTTTGTTCATGTGGAGCAGAGCCTACATATGCATACGAAATGTCAGCCAGAGTACCCGTAGCTATACTTTGACCGTTTTCGGGTATGTCATTTTGTTTTTAAAACCCATTTACTTCTTTGTTTTATCATATAATTAACTTTTAATTGCTTTAAACCCATCCAGTTGGATTGGAAAGATTTCACTGGACACATACATCTCGCAGTTCCATATTTGGTTAAGGTATGAGCCTCCTTTTTCAGCTGGTGTTTTGTTCCATGCATAAAATAGTTGGTGAATAATGTTAAATTAGCTATAACTATTCCTAGGTTCTCCTCAGCAGGAAACACAAAAAGATAAATGGCAAGCTTAAGATCATACAACTAATCATCTAATGGGTGGCATCTTTTCTTGAGCATTAGAGGTTCAACTATAACGGGCGCCCACCACTAGCAAATATTGTTCTCTTTAGATTTTCCCTTTCAGGCTTCCTCTCACGGTTATTAAAACGCGTCTACTAGGGAGAGGTTTCCACACATTCATAAAGAATGTTTCATTCTCTTCTCCAACCGATGTGGGATCTCACATCAACTTACTCAAAGCAAAGCCAAGTTCTGTAGCTAGTCTTTGAAACCCGAAACGGAATAAAATGACAACCAGCCCACTTTGGACCTTTCTTAGTTAGTTTACAAGAACCATAGTACATTTTTTTGGATTTATAACTCCAAACGTTTTGGTGTCAAATGCATTTGTTTTTATAGCATAGGTAGAGACAACAATTATTAACCAATCATACACTAAAACATCTCTACAATTTAACCTTATCTTTCAGATCAAATGCTCCGGACGCCCAGCCAAAGCTGTTGCTCACTATCATCCCAGATTATCCTTTACTGAACTTCATGCTTACAACTATCATACTTCTGACGGTAAATATTAGTTAGTTACTTTTAACGTCTTGAAGATTGTGACTGTGCTAAATTTTGATCATCCCCCGTTTGCTTGCCTTGCCTTGCCTTGCCTTGCTTGCAGACTTCTTACAGGCTCTCTGAGCTGACAAATACGTTTAAAACGGCCTTTGTACCTAGCAAGGACAATAAGCGCATTATGCATAACATGATTGCCGCAGCTGCAATCATGGCCATCTTATACGCCTTGTCATTCGTATTCCTTAAAGTCCCTCCAATGATGGTAAGAGTCCCGAACATTAACAACATTAATATGGTTACAATCACTTTTGTCGTGTTCAAAGTTACTTCAGTACATGCTTTTAATAATTCAAAATCGATTTAGTGTTTAGTTTTATGCTTTTAGATACGATTTTCATATCATAAAAATTGATTTTGAAGGATGAGCACACGTTCGGGCGTGATTTTAAACCTGACAAAAGTGGTTTTAACCATTTTAAGATCGGCCGTTGTCATCGACTTTCTTCCTCATTCTTTTGGTATTCAATATGCAGGTTTGAGAATTGAAGATAATAAGAGATTGTACAGAAGGGCACTACAATTTTCTGTGGAAGGACGAAATTTCGTGATGAAAAAGAAGGGAAAAAAACAAGAAAATTGTGTTATAGGTTAATCCACCGTATTGTTAGTGGGTTATTAAATGAAATAAGCCACTACCTTAGGGCATAGTTTATTCATAATTTGAGGCCACGGTCTTGTATTCCATTGAGTATGTTGACTTTCAATAAAAATTTGTTACTTTTAAATAGTGAAATAAATAACAAATCTTCACATTTTTACGTTTATTTCCATTTATTTTAAATATATATATATATATATTATAAAAACTGTAAAGTCAAAATTACTTTTTTTTTTTTTTTTTTTTTTTTT